TATGGTATTGTACTAGTACGTTCATGATGGCAAAGGTGATGTCCTCTTTTAGTGGTAATAATAAAAATGTCAGTACTACATCATGAAGACCTTGATAGTATCACAGATCAGTATGTGTCACTAATAATCTTAATAGAACTCTTATTAAACTGTCCTGTATTGAATTAATACGCTCTATCAATAATTCTATATAATAATAATAATAATAATACTTTATTAAATAATACACTCCGTTAATTATTAATTGTACCTTTAGGTAGGCAACGCCCACACCTGTTAACGTCTAATATAACCTGATTCTTATCTTTATAATCTAAAAAAAACCTATTAAGAAAAAAATAATTAAAATAATAATAATAAATTACAAGATAATGCTTTATATTTTGTTTAGTACACAGTCAATTAAAAGTGTCCAGTATCATACAGCTGGAAATATTGGCACCAGTTAAATTTAACAATTAATTTTACAAAATTTATTTTTGATATATTAGTGATTTAGTATCATCATGCCATTGAACAAGTAAAGAAATGAAACAAAAATTAATGGAGTGTATTTTATATTGACAGATGCTCATACAACACCCACTCAACCAATATTAATGCACTACCAATATCACCAACTACACTGTATAATATATTATATATGTCACATGAGGCTAGTCCTTACATGATGGTATGTTGTATATGTTGATTCCTAATAGTTTGGTCCATGCTCTCCTCCTCAATTCATTACACAATAGACCTCCTTTAGTAATAGCCTCTCCTCTTAATGATGTAATATCTACTGGATCTGAATTAATGGACTCCATTATAGACTGGAACTTATGAACCTCCCAATCTAATGGAGAGGGAGGGAAGGAGAGTATTGGAGTATATTGAGTATTATTAGGTACAGCTAGAGATGAAGGAGTTATTGACTGATGTTACCTTCAGTAAAGGTAGGAAGATCACTTAGATCAGGTAGAATATCTTTAGCACCTTCTGCTGCCATTTTAAAATTTATAACTAGAATAGCCACACCTCTGACCTCAAAATTAAAATAGAAAGAGTAGATATTTTTAAAAGTTTTAAGCTAAAAAAATGAATTAAAATTTAATAGTCTATTATTTTTTGAAACTTTCTTAAAAATGAATCAGAAAAAGCTACTAAACTCCACTATTGGCAGTGGTTTGTGTGGCTGTTCTTTTCTGTGTCTATCAATCAATGTCTTCTTTTGATCTTTAAGAGTATCCACCAGGAGAGGAGGGGTAATGATTCCATCACTAATCTCAATATATTCAAGTGATGGATGGATGAAGATAGTTTCATATAAATGTTGTACTAGCTCTATCCAGTTAAGTTGAGACAACTCTTTATTAATAGATCTACACTCTATCCACAGTAGTCTACTGAATGGTTGTATGTGATTGTAACATGTTAGTAACAGCAGGTAGTACCTGTTCATAAAACAATGGTGTCATTATTTGTTGCTTCTCTTCCCAGCTGCATGACTGATCTAATCTAAAGTTAACTTTAAGTTCTGTGTGATTGTTCTTTTGAGAGATGACATTAATAAAAGTTCTTATCTCTTCATTCAGTGGAATGGATACACTCAACTGCTGTAGACTGGTGTTGTGTCTGAGACCAGTTGTTAGGAAGGACCGTAGGAATGAACTGGGAATGTCACTATACCAACTACTAATCTCAAAGTATTTCTGATCAGTGTTTGGTTTTGTGTTAGCATGTCTTGTAGACTAGTACCCATACTGCTGGTATATACTCTCTCCTCGTCTATCTCTACACTCAGACCTTTAAGTGTAGTATTGGTTTGTAGAATAGTAAATAGTTCAATAGCACTCTCAGCTGTGTCTAGTGGTAAAGTAAGTGTATGTAGACTGGGATGAGAGAGAAATAGAAAATGTTGTGGGTATGGATCATGTAGTATCAGACAGTATAATCCTTTGATATGAGGAAGGAGTGATGATGCCATCAGTTTACTACTATTCAACCATCCTCCTCCTATCTCTAGAGCAGTCAGTGGTGTGTTCACCTCTACTATGTTCATGCAGTGATGATGGTAGGAGTTCATCAGGTATGTCCAGTGAAAGAGCTTGTAATGTGTCGTTGTCCTTTAGTAACTGCTCTATTACTCCATCAGGTAGAGGAGGAGGAGGAGCACCATATCTATGATTCACATGTATTGTTAATGATGTTATTGTTTTATTTCCTGTTACTCCTCTAATGACACTGATAATGGTACTTGTTATTTCATTCACTCCTTCATACTCAATCTCCATTTCTTGTAGTGTTGAATTCATTTCTATACATTTCTCAAGTTCAGTGCACTTGTCTGTGTAAGTATGTATTGTCTACTTTTGGCATAGTATGACGGTACATTATTAAATGCAGTATTTTCATCTGAGGAAAATTGAGGAACTGTAACAATACAAGACAGGGAACATATTGACCTTCAAGTATTAAACAGTAGCACTCCTGAATATTGTATAGAAGTGATGATTGTAATAATTTGTGTATTAATTCATTAGTGGGTTTATCCAACCATACCTCCAGTCTCTTACACTGGGTTTGTACTGAGTTATTGGTTAGTCCAGCAGTGAAGACTGGTAGTTCCTGGTTTTTTACATTCCACAGGTGCAAGTAATTCCATGTTGTGTTGGAATTGTTTATACAATAACTGAGACACAACCAGTCAAACAATGATAAAGATACTCTATTCAGACACAGTGAGTGGTTGTTAATGGATTGTGCTAATACTTGACATAATGTTGTGTTTTGTGATTCGTACAGGAGTTGAAGAAGAAGAATGGGAACATTTTCAAAATCATCAGAACTGATATGACCAGCTCTATTCTCAGGATTCTGATAGAAGTAGGAGAAATGACAAGTCTCAAATCCAAACAATGGTTTTCTCTTACACTGTAAGTCAAGTTGTTGTATAAAATATTGTTGATAGCTTTCATGTTCAAGGTGAGTTAGACCTGCCACAAACCTCAGACACATTCGAAAGTGATCATCATCAAAGTGATCCTTAAACACTTCCTCTCTCTTCTTCTCATGCTTAGTTATCCACCATGCAGCTAGAAATTCCTGTATACTCAAGTGAAGGAACTGATACTTCTCCTCATCATATTCTGCAAATGTTGTCATCAATCCAAGATAGTCTTCCTTGACTGCCTCACTCAGTGACTGTATTTGATGTGAAGAGAATGTCATTTTTGTATTAGCCAGGTTAGTATAAGCTAATTGACACATCTCTTGTAAAGGTTTAGCTAATTGTGATGGTAATGAAGAAAGACTACCTAAAGTATGTGGATTAATGTCATGTCTTTTAACATGTCTTCTGATAGTTTGTATAAAGTTTTCATACAGTTGAGTGAGGGTTGTTGGTAAGTGTCCTCCTTCCTTACAATAAACTAAAATGACCATGGAACAGACTAGTGGTACATAACACAATGTTTGGACATCATTTCGTACTTTAAGATCATTAATCAGTTTCACTGCTAGTTGTGAGTCCTTACTGCTTTGAGTAGTTGTGAAATGTGATCTGTACTTTGCATTAGTTTTATATTTTATAATTTCATCTTGTTCAGTGTTTTCATGAATGAGTTCTTGTGCTAGTTTTGTATCTTTCTGAAGTGTTTGTATAATTACTGTTGATATTTCTTCCTTAGAAAATCCAATGACCTGAACATGTCTACTGAGAGTATCCATTTTCAAAAGTGAAGAGGAGGCATAGCTACGAGAGGTAACAATTACTGAACATTGGTCTAACTTCTCTTTACAAATGATACTAGTAGCTAATGAAGACTGTCTGAGTTGTTCACTTAGTTCATCCCAACCATCAAAGATTATCAGTAATCCTTCTCCATTCCTCTTTTTAAACCATTCAGCTACCATGAGAATTTCATAACGTTGACACACAAACAGGTCAGCTAGTGTATTAGCAGTAGCTATTTTACTATTCCTTAAAGGACAGTAAAGTATCAAGTCATACTGTTGGTGTACAAGTGGTCCATTGGACCACATATTTAACAGTTTACGACGGAGTGTGGTCTTGCCAATACCAGGAGGACCATCTATTACTACTCTGAGAGACAGAGAACTATCTGTGGGTTTGAGGACATCTTCAACACTTATCTCTTTGTTTTTGTTTAGTTTAACTGTTTTATCAACTTGTCCTCTTAGCATATGCCAAGCTGATACTGCTTGTGTGCTGGAGTCTTGTTTTTCTACTAGTGCTAGTCTTCCAAAGAAATCTTTTCCAATTCTTGGTGGCCAGTCTGTAGCAACAATAGGTTGGTGTTTGTAGTGTTGTCTCATATTGTCAGCATATCCATGAACATCATCAGGTATTGAACTAATGTATGTGACATTATCAGGTATAGACTGACCTAATGTATTGAGATAATAATGACTATATTCATCACTGATAATGTACACACACACACTCACCTAACTGGTGTAATATAGAGGTAGCAATATCTGTTAGTGTACGATGTTGTTGGTTTATTAATACATGACATATATCAATAAGATACTGCTCTGGATTAAGAGAGGATTCCAACTGTTTCTCAATGACATTCATAAGGTTGGCAGCTTTAGTAAAATTATCAACTGCTGGTACAAGCATTTCCTGTTTAGTTTGTTGTGGTATCAGTTCTTTAGCATACAGTGCATATGCTGTTCTTGGAATGTCAATAGAAATACTATCAACAAGTTTATCAGAATGAGTCCTTAATATATCCTTTGGATTACCTGCAGTAGTGTATCAGTTAATGAGTGTTGTATTAAGTGTATGTTTACCTGTTATATGACCAGGATTAGCATTACTGGTACTGACTTCCATATCATCATTAGTACTTCTTCCAGCTGTGGGATCTGTCACTTTGTCATCAATAGTTCTAGCTAGTTCATTCTCTTTACATTGTTTCAAAGCATTAATGACATCTCCCCATGATGCTGTAGGATCAACTTGTAACCATCTCTTATGTAAAGCCATTTTCATGAAGTGAGCATTTCTTTTCTTTTTATCAATTATATTGACATCAGATTGTGTTATTCCAGGAAGACAAAGAGCAAATGGTTTCCAGTCAACAAGTGGTTTAAGACACTTTGCAAATAAGAGACAAGATGGTTGATTATCAATCATAGGACCAGGATTGAGTTCAACATCTCCTGATAAGAGGAGGAGCATACGTAGACAAACAATCAAATAGAGATCATTGTAAATCAGGTTAGAACTGCTGCCTACATGTAAGACTACTGACTGGAGGTAATTCGTATCAGTAATACCAGTAGTACATTGTACTTGGTAGCAGTTACCTAATAATAAAATACCAGTAAATAAACAAGTACAAAGTTGCAATTGTTGTTTACCTGTTAGAGGAATCAAATCAAGATGTGTCTTAATAAAGAGAGAGAGTGAAAGTGGAGGAGGAGTAAAGCAATAAGAGACAGAGCTGCTGGCAGTTTAGATGTCTTCTCTCCTGATGTAGTACTGCCTGACTTGCTGTCTACTCCAGCTTTGAATGAGTGAGAGTGGCGGCCATTAGTTGGTCTACTGGAGGCAGCTTGACAGTAGTTCCACAGTCCAATACTTGCTCTCCATTGAGAGACATCAATCATCTTGTAATTATTAGTAAAGTGTAACTGTACTAGATCCAACGGTCGTAAATTATGTCATAGTTACACAAAGCATAATTTGTCTCGCCACTTTTATTTCAACCGACTACCACGACTATGGAACAAGCTAATAGACCAAGCTGATATACTTGATTGCTCATTGACCTCCGCTAAGAGACGATTAGTTGATCTGATGTGGCAGACCTTCTTAGATAAGTTTGAATCATCACATTTTTGCACATTCCACTTTTTATGTCCATGCAGTAGGTGTATTGAGTCATTCCTGTAATTTTATAATTTTAATTTTAT